CTGGAATTTTGTTTCACTCTGTCTTTTTGTGGGTTCTGCTGCTTTAGAATTTGTTTAGAGCCATTTTTACAGGTATTTGGAGGGGTTTGGGGGGAGAGCTTAAGCAAGTCACTGCTTCTACTCTGCCATCTTGGCTGTGCCCTGACATAAGTTTCTAAGGCAAAGAAAATCATCAAATATTGATGCTAGAAGGTTTCTAAGAAATGAACTAGTCTAAACCTATCATTTGACAGATGGAGACTTTGAGGCCCAAAGATTAAGTGACTTTTCCTAGTTACATAGGTAAGAAGTAGGAAGTTGTGAACCCAGATCTTCTAAGGTCAAAACTCTTTCCACTATATCATCTTCTTTTCTATGCTGAGCTGGGGCATAGATGGTTGAGTTCTGACAACCAGAAAATTGGCCAGTGCCTTGGATTGGGTATACAGATACTTAGATAGAAGACAATGGTAATACAGGGTACAGGCCCTTCCTCTGGGCTACTAGGAATCTCTAAAGGGGAGGCATATGTGGAAACAACACAAGATCAATGCCTAACCTCTCCTCATTTGTTCACACACATATCACAGGGCTTTGCTTTGCTCTAGGCTAAATAGATGAACTTCTTAGAAGTATATATTAGCCTACCTGTGAATATTGATAATATGTAACCTTGACGATGATGATGGAAATAGTATCTCATACTGATACAGTGCTTCACAGTTTAAAGAAAGGACTTTTCTTTACAAAAATTCTGTGAGACAGGCTGCATAAATATTACTATTCGCATTTTACAGACAGGAAAATTGGCTCAGGGTTGATGTGATATAATGAGTTCATGCCAGAGCCAGGATTAAAAACCCGGGTCTCCAGGCCAGAGATCGAAAAGCAACAACAATAAGTAATCTAAGACTGTAAAAGTGGCAGATAGGTGGCACAGTGGATAGAGTGGAGTCAAAAAGACTCATCTTCCTAAGTTCAGATCTGTCCTGGAGACTTACTAGCTGTGTGACCCTAGGTCAGTCATTTACTCCTGTTTGCCTTAGTTTCCTCATCTGTAAAATGAACTAGAGAAGGAAATGGCAAATCATTCCAGTATCTTTGACAGGAAAACCCCAAATGGCATCATGAAGTGTCATACATGACTGAAAAATGACTGAACAAGATAGTAAACCCTAAATCCCACCTCTGATGTTTACCATCCATATGACCTTGAGCAAGTCACTTAACTTCTATCAGTTTCCTCATCTTTAAAATGAGGGGGTTGGATTAGATGACCTTTAAAGCCATTTTTGGCTCTAGATCTATGATCCTATGACCTCTCTGGGCCTCAGTTTCTTCATCTGCAAAATGAGGGAGTTAGACCACAATGTCTCTGAGGTCCCTTCTGCCTCTCTGTGATCCATTATTGTTAGGTAGAGTCAGGGAGGGCTTCCTGAAAGGCTTATGCTTTTTTATTTTTAATTTATAGAACAAAACAAGTATTTCCATAACATAGTAGAATTTTTAAAAATGATTGCACATGAAACTGCAAATCTACTAGGTACAACCTGCTATGCCTTTTAAATATATAATAAAGTTATCATGTAACTTTTTTCCTGTTTCTCTTCTCCCCCCCATCCCCTACCCTAGAAAAAAGCCTTCTTTATCGTTCATTTTTTTAAGGTGGGGAGGGAAGTCATTCTAGATACAGAAAATGTACAATGGCATCGATGTAGGGATGAGAGAATCTCAGCTAAACAAAACACTAGCCTGCTTTCCCTACTTCCCTGCCCCACCTTACCCCAGAAGGCATCCATGTGAGCTGCCCCCAAAAGAGGGCCATTTGTGTTTTGGGGTTTGTAGAGGCATGGCCTGAGTTGTCTCCTTGGCCTTTCATGATTGACATTTTCTCTCTGTGGTCATTGGGCAGAAAGAGAAAAACTTTGGCTCGAAATTTCCTCTCCCCCTTCTCCAGACAGGGGATTGAAAAAGCCCCAATGTATGTGTGTCTTAGGGCACTTGAACATTTTCAGCTGTCCAATTTTATTTTTCTTAGTCTGCAGTGGGCCTCCCCAGCTAAACTTCTAACCTTCAGGATTTTTATTTCGAATGTCACGCACATGTAATTGGCATGAGCCACTGTGGCTGCTGCGCCCAGTGACAGAGACAAATGGGCTCTGTGTGCACCTGAAGCTGAGTCTTATTTAATTTTGTCATTTTCAATTAAAATCTGCCTGGTCCTCTCTCTGGTTCAGTGCAAACACTTAGGGAAATTCACATGACAGTGACTGCAAGTTGCAAACATTCCACCAGAGATGATTAGGGTCTCCACCCCTTAGGCTCCTCCTTGTCTTTTTCTTTCTTTCTTTCTTTCTTTCTTTCTTTCTTTCTTTCTTTCTTTCTTTCTTTCTTTCTTTCTTTCTTTCTTTCTTTCTTTCTTTCTTTCCTTCCTTCTTTCTTTCCTTCCTTCTTTCCTTCTTCTCATCTAGGAAAAGGTGGATTGACTAACCCACCCAGAGTGGAAGGATGGGAAATTCGAACATTGAAATTAAATTAGCAAAGTTTTTCATGTTTGGAACTATAAGAAGCATGCAAACTTTTTTTGAATGGTGCAAAAGGCAAAATGAATAGGAAAAAAAGTAAAATAACCTTGAGCATTATCACAGTATTTTTTTTCAAAAATGCTTTCTGAAGTAATCTGTAAATTTTAAGTTTCCCACAGTGATATACTGTAAGTTTGTAAAACAACACAAACATTTACCTTGGCCAATGGCCTCATGGAAAGAATAAAAATTATCAACACAACAAAATGGCTTAAAAAGATGAGGTACCCTCCCGGAGGAAGCCCGGAGAATGTAAAAGTCATCTTTGTAGGCCTGAGTCTATTCATACAGTGCCAGCAAAAACAACCCAGTGGGGCCAGCTCCCTCTCCCTGGAAAGGGGTGATTGCTTTCTCCAGGCAGTGTACTTCAGTAAAGAGACTCCTGGTCTGGGTGGTAGGAGACCTGAGACGTGTGTTATAGTCCTATTATGCCAATAACCACCTATATGGCCTTAGGCAAGTCACTTCCCTTCTGGTCTATATTTGATACATGATTTAGATGAAGGGATAGAGGTTATACTTATATGACTTGTAGTTAGCATGAATCTGGGATGGATGGCTAGGAAGGCAGAATATGAATCCAAAAAGATTTCAACAGGACAGAAAAATAGACTGAATCTAGTAAAATGTATATTAATAAGGATAAATGTAACTAAGTCTTATGCTCGGATTCAAAAATCACCTGTACAGAGTAAGGGAAGTATAGCTACTTAATAGTTCACATGGAAAAAGATCTGGTGGTCTTAGAGCATGAGAACCTTGATGTGTGGCAACAGTGTGACATGGTAGTCAAAAAAGCTATGATCTTCAGCCACATTAACTGAGGTGTAATATCATAGATTGAGGGAAGTAATGGCCTTGCTGTATTGTGTTCAATTTAACCTGTCATATTTTAGGAAGGAGATTGACAATCTGGAGTATATCCAAAGGCAAGACATATTCCAGGTGATGAGAGGACTGAAGGCCATGACATACAAAGATCACTTAAAGAAAATGAGGCTTCAAAAGGGGAGATTTGAAAAGAACATGATAGTTGTTCTCAGGCATCTGAAGGGCTATTAAATGGATTAGTCTTATTCTAGTTGGCCCCAGAGAACAGAACTAGGAGCTATGGAAAGTTACAGAGAGGCAGATTTTAGCTTCAATGGGAGGGGAAACCCCACAGAATTACACAGTTGAAAGATACTTCAGAGGCCATCTAGCCCAACCTGTACTTGATCAATAGCCCCTTGCATAACATCTCTGACAAATGGCCATCTAGTCTTTGTGTGACTACCTCCTCACTGAAGGAGAGCCCAATACTGCCAGAGGCAGCTCATGCTCTTTTTGGCTTCATTATTGGGGCATTTTTTTTAAACCAAAAATCTTCTACATAAGGATAGCAGGAATGTGTGGTGAGGGGTATTTCTGTTTGAATATGGGTTGGACTTCATGAACCTTAAGGTACCTCTCAAATATTGAAGATTCTGTGGAAAAACTCCCTGGATCTTCGTTTCTTGATCTGTAGACTGAAGTTGAACTAGGTAATCTTGTTTTATTCCAGCTATAATATTCTCTGCCAATAACACCTCACATTTTGCATAGATTATCTCATTTTATAATTTAAAAAATTATAGGCCCCTTAGGCCCCTCACCTGTACCCCTTTGGTGGGGAAGAAGCATTTGGGTTGGTTTTGATGAGAGGCAGCGTTTTATAATTGATAGGGAGGGAGAGGAATTATGCAGGAAGACCTAGGTTCATATCCCACCTTTAGCATGTAGTGGTGTGTAGGCGAGTGACGCTGGTTAAATCACTTAACCTCGAAGTGTTCCAGGCAGTCTCTGTAAGTCACAGAGAAGGTAGTGATCTTCACTTGTAGAGCACATTTCCTTAGCTGGAGTTTCCTATACCAATGAAATTACAAGTGTGATCTAAAAAATGCTAAAATCTGGTTTACATACTTTATCTCATTTAGATATCATGTAGCACTTTACATGCATTATCTGGAGCAGTTAGGTGACACAGTGGTTAGAATGCTGGACCTGGAGTGAGGAAAACCTGAATTCAAATCACCTACCTTGCAGGGTTGTTGTGAGGATCAAATGGAATAATATTTGGTTTTTTTAGATAATATTTTTTTCCTCAATTACTTGTTAAAACAATTTTTTACATTTTTATAAGTTTTTAGTTCCCAAATCTATCCCTGCCTCCCTCCCCTCCCCACTCCCTGAGGTAGCAAACAATCCAATATTGTTTATACATGTGCAGTCATGTAAAACATTTCCACGTTGGTCATTTTGTATAAGACTCAAAGGAAAAATAACGAAAGAAAGAAAAAGAGTATGCTTTGGTGTGTATTCAGACAATGTGAGGTGATATTTGCAAAGCACTTAGCCCAGTATGTAGTGGGTGCTATATAAATGCTTATTTCCTTTCCCATATCTCGTTTGATTTAGTTTTCTTTGTAGCTTTGCTGGTGAGGCCTGAGCCAAGAACCTGAGAAGATGTAGAGCGGGATGCCTGGCAGCCATAGGAGATGATGGAAAAAAGCTGTTTACTTTTAGAGGTGAGATGGATCTAGGCACAGGGACTCACTCCCTGGTGTTGGGGGGTGGAAGGGTAATCCGAAGGAGAAAAGGACAGAAAGAGGGGATCAAGTATTCATAATACTTACGCACAGGGGATGTTGAAAGTGCCCGGTTTCTCTTCTCAGGCTTCTGTTCTTACTGTGAAAACTATTTTTAAGTCCAACAATGTGGCTGGCTGGGTAGCTCGGCAAGTTGTTTGGCAAGATCCAGAACCCTTAAGGGAAACCCCCCTATTCAGAAAGTATTGACGTATAGGGTGTTTATAGAAGGGGGGCTTGGAAAACAGATCACAGTTTGCCACAAATGAGATTAATGGACAGTAAATAACATTTACATTGCAGAAAGCCCCTAATCCTTCTTTCCTACTGCTGGGAAGTCTAGACCAGTGCTGAGCCCAGAGCTGAGACAGCAGGTATGTGAACCGTGCCCCTCCCTTCCCCCCCAAGCTCCTGTTACAGCTACTCTGCTTGTAGGTGAATGAATATCACAGAAACTCACATAAATCTAGAGCTGGAAGGACTGTCAGAGCTCATCTGGTTTAACCTTCTGATTTTACAGAGAAAAAAAAAACTTTTACCCAGAGAAGGAAATCTAGGCTCAGAGAAGGACACACAGCTCATTGGAGGCAGAACTGGGTCTAGGATCCAGGTTTCCTAATCCAGAGAGCAATTATTTTGACTGTCCCCAATCCTGGGAGATTAAGGACTTTGTAATTAAGGACTTTATCTCTCTCTCTCTCTCTCTCTCTGTATGTATGTGTATGTGTATGTGTATGCATATATATACATATTATATACATATATATGAGTGTATGTGTATGTGTGTGTATACACATATATGTATATTGTAATGCGTTTTATTGAGGCATTTTGTCATTATGTCATAGTCATTTCTGAGGGATTACTTAATATTTACCAATTGAACCCTCCTTTGTAAAAAAAAAAAAAGTAGCAATTAAGCAAAAACATCCATACAGTACACTGACTGCATCTGACAATGTTCTGTCTTTGTGGTCTGCTACTTCTCTTCCATGATGGTAGAGATATGTTTCATTACCTGTTCGCCTTCCTTTTAAGGAAACTCCCTTTTAGAGATCTTTTCATTAACATCCTTGTGGTCGTTGAGTATATTGTCCTTTTGGTTCTCCTCTGCATCTGTTCATGCAAATCTCTTGTGTCACTGAATTCCTTGTATTTGTAACATATTGCTACTTATACTGTTCCATTACATTTGTATACTATAGTTTTTTCAACTTTTTTCCAATTGATGGTTTTGCTTGCAGTACTTTACTACCATAAACAGTGCTATAATGAATATCTTGGCATATATAGAATTTTTGTTTGTCTTTGACTTCCTTGGTGTGTAAGCCTAGTCATGGGATTGCTGAATCAAAGGTTATGGATGACTTAGTCACTGTTCTTGCATAAGAAATATCAATTCCACATAGATACCCAGAAGAGTGGGGCAATTCATAGCTCCACCAATAGTCTATCAGTGTGTCTGTCATTTCACAATCCCTTCAACATTGAGCATCCCCATTTTTTATCATCTTTGCCAATTTGCATGAGGTTTGAGGTGACTCTAGGCATCATGTGATGGAGGAGGGCTTGGCATTCAAGTATACATTCATTCACTCAGCAAACATTTGTCAAGTGCCTACCATGGATATCCCTATTCAAATAGGTCTGGATCAAAGAGGCATAAGATGTCATTAGTGCCCTCAAAGGGCTTACCAGCTATCTGGGGAAATCTGGTATTTCCAGTCTGTCTGGGAGACTAATACATAAAATAATGAGAGGACAATTCCTTGTCAAGATGTATCTGACTGAATGATGAAGGGGATTATTTCAAATAAACCTGGAAAGACTTATATGAACTGATGCAGAGTGAAGTAAGCAGAACCAGAGAACAATTTATACAATAGCAATATCGTAAAGGCAAACAACTCTGAAAGACTTAGAAACTCTAATGAACACATTGACTAATCAAAATTTTAGAGGGCTCATCATGAAACATACTATCTACCTCCCGATGAGAGGACTCGGGGTAAATTGAGGCTTATGGGCTTTGGGAAGTTGGGAGGGGCTGAAAGGACACAGCCAATGTCTAGCTTGACTAGACATTTGTAATGGGTTTTATTTTTCTTGCTTTCTCAGTGGGGAAGTTGGGAGGGAGAGAATTTAGCCCTGAAAATAAAATAAAATTGAATTTAAAAAAAAAAAAGATGTGTCTGAACATCAGTACGGTTGGAGTTTCTTGGTTAAAGAAGCAGGACTTGAGCTTGATCCAGAAGGATAGGGAGGATTTATACTCATTTAGAGAAAGAGGGAAAGCATTCTAGGCAACAAGGGTGTTGTATTATGTATGTATGATTGGATGGGTGATTTTTCAGTCCTGTGATAGAATTAAGAGCTGGAAGGGAGCTTAAAGGTCATCTGGCCCAAGCCCCTCATCTTATAGAGGAAAAAACTAGGGTAGTGACTTGCCCAAAGCCAAACAAGAAGGATGCCCATTAAATGGGGAATGGTTAAACAAGTTGTGGTATATGCTTGTGATGGAATGTTTACTGTAAGAAAAGATGAGCTCAGTGATCTTAGAAAAACATGGAAAAGACTTGTGTGAAATAATGAAGAGTGAACCAACATTATTGGTCGACAAATAATTGTGAATGACTAAGCTATTCTGAGTATTATAAATTGTAAATTGAGTATTACAAATACTCAAATCAACTACAAAGGACCTATGAAGGAAGATGCTATCTACCTCCAGAAAAAGAACTGATGAATAGAAGTATGGTTTTCCATACACGCATATGTATATATGTATATATGTGTGTGTGTGTTTATATATATGTATATATTTATATATTCATGTCAAATAGTGGCCTTCTCTGTGTGGGGTGGGGAGGGAGGAAGATAGTTCACAACTTAAAATGTAACCTAAATAAATAAAAATAATTTTTTAAAAAATCAATGCTTTTTCTTCTTGAAACAGTTGAGTTACTGAGACAGAAAGTGATGGCAGGCAGGGAGGGGACAAGGTAGAATACTTTTCCTTTCCAGAGGGCCTGTATGTCAATCTTAAGGGAAATTCTGGGGAGGCACAGAATCCAGTGCCCTGATAGTCTGGGGCAGAAAAGCACCCCTTTCATTGTCAGGGCTGGCTGGGTTTGTTTTTCTGGGTCTGCCAGTGTGATCCTTTAATTCTGGCATCATTCTAATTAATGGTGGTTCTGAATTTAATAGTCTTCACATATTTCTGTGGCTTTTAGGGGAGAATGTAGACTTAGCTCAGGTCTCTTCATTCCTCTTAGGGAAAATCCTTTTTAAAAAGAAGCAAATTAGAATTGGTGCTGAAGAGTTAGCTGCTGTCTCAGCAACAGGACTTCTCTGTTCCATCTACATCCTTGGGCTGAGTTTTATGGGGAGGGAGTTTAACTTGAAGTCTCAAACCAGAAGTCAAATTTAGAATCTTACAGCTAAAATGCACCTTTGAAATCATCCAGTTTTACAGAAAACCCTTTTGTTTTACAGAAGAGGAAACTGGAGAGAAGTAACTTGTCCAAGGTCACAAAGCCAACAAGTGGCAAGGCTTGGATTCAAATGTGGATCTTTTGTACTCCAAATCCAGTGCCTACTCTCTCTCTGTCTCTGTCTCTCTGTCTCTCTCTCTCTCGCTTGCTCTCTCTCTCTCTTCCCTTCTTGCTGTCTCTGCCTTCCCTCTCCACATACCATGCTTGTCCTTGGGAGCCTAAATCAGTTTAAAGAGAAGCTAGACAGACCCTACTTCTTCCTATTGAGATAGTAATCAGTGAAACTGTGCTCTTAGGATCCCAGACCTGTTCAATGTGAAAAAGACTGTCATCTCTGTCTGGGGGAAGGGGAGGAGCCTTCTGGGGATCATCATTTTAGAGCTGGAATAAACCTTTAATGTGGTCTAGTGTAAAGGTGGGGTCTGTGAGCTTTTTTTTTTTAATGTTGATAACTAGTTCATTATAATTGGTTTCCTTTGCAATCCAATTATTTTATTTTATGCATTAGAAACGCTATTCTGAGAAGGCTTCACCAGACTGCCAAAAGTGACTATGGCACATAAAAAAAGATTAAGAATCCCCTGCTTTAGTATAATCCCCTCATTTTACAAATGAGGAAACTGAGGCTCCTGAGAGATAAATGACCTGCTATAGGGCCACATCCTAAGCAGCAGAGCCAGGATTCAGCATCTCAGAGTTGGAAGTGACCTCAGAGGCCAGTGAGTCCAATATGAATCCCTTCTCAACAAAGCCAACAAGGGATCCTTTAGCCTTTGTCAAAGGCCTTCAGTGACCAGGGTGCCTGCCATAGGCTGAGGCTGCCCAGTCCACTTTGAGATAGCTCTAGAGGTTTAGGAAGCTTTTCCTTTGGTTGAGCCTAAATGTGCCTCTTTGTAACTTCCAGGCTTTTCCCTCTGAGGCCAAAGCAGAATAAGCCTAATGCCGCTTTTACAATACCAGTCCTTCAAAACTTAAACATAGCTTTCATTTCCATCCCCCTCCAAGTCTTCTCTTTTCTAGGCTAATAATGATAATAATAATAGCTACCATTTATGTAGCACTCCCTCTGGGCCAAGCATTAAACTAAGCACTCTACAATTACTATCTCATTTGATCTTCACAACGGTAGTAAAGCACCTACATGGGAGGTAGGTGGTAGGTACGATTATTATCTCCATTTTATAGATGGGGAACCTGAGGCAAACAGGTTAGATAACTTGGCGGGGGTCACACAGCTAGTGAGTATCTAAAGGCAGATTTGAACTCATGTCTTCCAGACTCCAGGGCTGGAGCTCTATCCATTGCACCACCTAGCTGCTAAAAATCCCCAGTTCCTTAAACCGGTTCTCCTAATGGCTGAACTCCTGGTCTTTTGGATGCCCTCCAGCTTACCACTACCCTTGCTGAAATACAGTGCCCAGAGGTAGCTAGGTGGCACAGTGGATAGAGCTCCGGCCCTGAAGTCAGAAGGACCTGAATTCAAATCTGGCCTCAGACCGAACACTTGACACTTACTAGCTGTGTGACCCTGGGAAAGTCACTTAACCCCAGTGGCCTAAAAAAAGTTTAAAAAATAAATAAATAAAATGCAGTGCCCAGAGCTGAACATAGCACTCCAGAGGCAGTGGGCTCAGGGCCCAGCTCAGCAGTACTATTCCCTCTCTAAATTCTAAACTTTTGCTTCTCTTAAACCTGTAACATAATAATAATAGCTGACATTTATGTAGCATTTACTAAGTGCCAAGGACTGTGCTTTACAAGCTTTCTCATTTGATCCTCACAACAACTTTGAGAGACAGGTGCAATTATTATCCCCAGGCTCACACAGCTAGTAAACATCTGAGGCTGGATTTGAACTCAGATCCTCCTACCTGCAAGTT